TGATTACATGCATATGGCTGGGTGCTTACATGCATATGGCTGGGTGCTTACATGCATATGGCTGGGTGCTTACATGCATATGGCTGGGTGATTACATGCATATGGCTGGGTGCTTACATGCATATGGCTGGGTGCTTACATGCATATGGCTGGGTGCTTACATGCATATGGCTGGGTGCTTACATGCATATGGCTGGGTGCTTACATGCATATGGCTGGGTGATTACATGCATATGGCTGGGTGCTTACATGCATATGGCTGGGTGCTTACATGCATATGGCTGGGTGCTTACATGCATATGGCTGGGTGCTTACATGCATATGGCTGGGTGCTTACATGCATATGGCTGGGTGCTTACATGCATATGGCTGGGTGCTTACATGCATATGGCTGGGTGATTACATGCATATGGCTGGGTGATTACATGCATATGGCTGGGTGCTTACATGCATATGGCTGGGTGCTTACATGCATATGGCTGGGTGATTACATGCATATGGCTGGGTGCTTACATGCATATGGCTGGGTGCTTACATGCATATGGCTGGGTGCTTACATGCATATGGCTGGGTGCTTACATGCATATGGCTGGGTGCTTACATGCATATGGCTGGGTGCTTACATGCATATGGCTGGGTGCTTACATGCATATGGCTGGGTGCTTACATGCATATGGCTGGGTGCTTACATGCATATGGCTGGGTGATTACATGCATATGGCTGGGTGCTTACATGCATATGGCTGGGTGCTTACATGCATATGGCTGGGTGATTACATGCATATGGCTGGGTGCTTACATGCATATGGCTGGGTGCTTACATGCATATGGCTGGGTGCTTACATGCATATGGCTGGGTGCTTACATGCATATGGCTGGGTGATTACATGCATATGGCTGGGTGCTTACATGCATATGGCTGGGTGCTTACATGCATATGGCTGGGTGCTTACATGCATATGGCTGGGTGCTTACATGCATATGGCTGGGTGCTTACATGCATATGGCTGGGTGCTTACATGCATATGGCTGGGTGATTACATGCATATGGCTGGGTGCTTACATGCATATGGCTGGGTGATTACATGCATATGGCTGGGTGCTTACATGCATATGGCTGGGTGCTTACATGCATATGGCTGGGTGCTTACATGCATATGGCTGGGTGCTTACATGCATATGGCTGGGTGCTTACATGCATATGGCTGGGTGCTTACATGCATATGGCTGGGTGCTTACATGCATATGGCTGGGTGCTTACATGCATATGGCTGGGTGATTACATGCATATGGCTGGGTGCTTACATGCATATGGCTGGGTGATTACATGCATATGGCTGGGTGCTTACATGCATATGGCTGGGTGCTTACATGCATATGGCTGGGTGCTTACATGCATATGGCTGGGTGCTTACATGCATATGGCTGGGTGCTTACATGCATATGGCTGGGTGCTTACATGCATATGGCTGGGTGCTTACATGCATATGGCTGGGTGCTTACATGCATATGGCTGGGTGCTTACATGCATATGGCTGGGTGCTTACATGCATATGGCTGGGTGCTTACATGCATATGGCTGGGTGATTACATGCATATGGCTGGGTGCTTGCATGCATATGGCTGGGTGATTACATGCATATGGCTGGGTGCTTACATGCATATGGCTGGGTGCTTACATGCATATGGCTGGGTGCTTACATGCATATGGCTGGGTGCTTACATGCATATGGCTGGGTGCTTACATGCATATGGCTGGGTGCTTACATGCATATGGCTGGGTGCTTACATGCATATGGCTGGGTGCTTACATGCATATGGCTGGGTGCTTACATGCATATGGCTGGGTGATTACATGCATATGGCTGGGTGCTTACATGCATATGGCTGGGTGCTTACATGCATATGGCTGGGTGCTTACATGCATATGGCTGGGTGCTTACATGCATATGGCTGGGTGATTACATGCATATGGCTGGGTGCTTACATGCATATGGCTGGGTGATTACATGCCTATGGCTGGGTGCTTACATGCATATGGCTGGGTGCTTACATGCATATGGCTGAGTGTTTCCGTGCATATAGCCGAATGTATGCATGCACATGGATGAATTATGCATGCACATAACCGGGTGTGTGCATGCTGATTATAACACTTACCTCCCTTGTAACATTCACAATTGTCACGACTCGATGCTTGGCATATATATCCGGTCATTTTTCTAGGCACGAATCTGACACAATCACACCGCCACCCTTTCAACCCATGTGCCATCCACATTTCAACCACATATTACATCCCATTCACATGGCATTCACAGGCCATCCACGTGCCGTGCCATCCACATTCCATTCACGTGCCTTCCACATGCCATCCACATGCCATCCACATGCCGTCCACATGCCATCCAAATGACATCCACATGCCATCCGCCCACCATTGCAGTGGCATCAAAGGAAACTATCTCACGGGCTCCCTGCCGGCCACCCTTGGCGCACTCAACCTCGATGAACTGTAAGAAACTATCTCAGTGCTCATGCTTGAAGTGACTTTCAAGCCGGCTCAAAACTGAAGTGTAAGAAACTATCTTAACGCTCATGCTACAAGGGAGTCGCCTAAGGGAGTCATCTAACCAAAGCATGAAGCACTCTGTAAGAAACGGACCTCACATTTGTGCATACGTTGCCAACCTGCTCCGGTCATACGTACCGCACACCTACATGGCTTGCTCTCTAGTGCTGACCATGTGTATCTCTGGAGTTACTTTTGCTCTCATTGCTCTGCCATTGCTGCCAGCATCAGACCAACCAGACCAAGCATGCCGGAACCATATATTTACTCAGGATTTATGTTGCTCTGCTCAACCCTGGTGCACAAGAATGGTGTCTAGGGGTATTCTGAATATACAGCTGCTCTGAACCTGACCCATCTCACTCCATCTAAGTCCATTTATATCTAATCACACCCTGCATGCCCTACCAGGGAGTATGACTTCACAGTGCAATGTCCCAGCGGCACTGACTGTGTGGTGCAGCAGTCGCTCGAGAGCCAGTTCTGCATCGCCTGCTATTCCTTCTGCCAGTCCTGCGTCTCCCCGCCTGCAGGTGAGCTGTATTTTTTATCTGAGATTGTTTTGAAATGACCCACAGCAGTCTTCCTTTCACGGAGCCAGTTCTGCATCGCCTGCCAGTCCTTCTGCCAGTCCTGTATCTCCCCACCTGCACGTGAGCTGGCTTGCTGCCACTTCTACTTCGTAACGCCTATTGAACTTCCTGTTTCATGCAAAACTGATCAGCCCAGATTAGCTATCTTCAACCTGGGCAAAGCTAGTATATGCTTAACAATACATTTAACTGCAAGTGCTACAGCTACACTACATGGATCGAATAGCCTTATGTTGAAACTTCGTGTTTCAAAACTGCATCCCCATGCTTGAGAAGGTTGTTTAATGGGAATTTCCCCCTCTTCTTGTGCTTTTTGTGCGCAGCGCCATCTTTTGCAGCTCCATCTGAGGCTCTCCCATCTGAAGCTCTTCCTTCCGAAGCTCTTCCATCCGAAGCTCTTCCTTCCGAAGCTCTTCCTTCCGAAGCTCTTCCATCCACATCCCCCCCGTCCGAATCCTCGCCGGTCAACGATCATGAGCCTCCATACATGCCCCCCTACATTGCACCTCCTTCCCTGTCCCCTCCCTCCATTCCTTCTCTCGGCAATGGGACCTCTAACACTGCCGACTCCACATCCTCGGGAACTAGTACCAGCAGCAGCACCACCAACATCATCGACAACAGTGTGCAGAGCTCCTCCAATGCCAACAGCACAGCCTCTTCTTCCTCCTCTGGCATGTCCACTGGAGCAATCGTGGGGATTGTGGCGGGGGTGATTCTGGTGGTCATTGGCGCCGTTGCAGTCGTGTTCATCATTATTCAGTGTTGCAAGAAGACGAAAGGTGAGCTCATTAGTGAACAGCAACTTGGAACATCTTGAAACCATTTTTTTCCCCTAAGTTTCAAGCACCCTTTCTCCCCCTTCCTGCTTCCCCTTGTTTGATTCCTCACTTTCCGTAACCCCAATTTCTCTCTCCTTTCCCCTAATTCGCAATCCGAAACAATAAAGTTATGTATGAATGTACAATCACGACAGTTGTTGCCTTATTCTGTCAAAGCAACAAGCCCCCTTCAATCCTTTGTGCTTTGGTCCGTCAATCTGCTTCTTTCCTTCAAGTTCGTATGTAAATACATCCATTCGCCTTGCCTTCTTTTCGTGCCCTTTTACAGACATTGAGGTGGAATATCCTTCATCTGCAGCAGCAACAGGCTATCCAGCCATGGGGTCATACACAGCTGGAGACCAGTACAAGCCTGCTCAGGCCGCCAATGTTGGTTACCAGCCAGGTGTTGCTGATAAGGTGTAGACTAAGTTCGCATGTGGTGGACTTACATGCTTCCTACTCCTCGATTTACCTCAACAATTAATCATCAAATGCGCTGCATGCATGATGCATTGCAGCTAGATGGTAAGTGGCCCACGCAAGATATTGTTAAAGATGCTGGGGAATGCATAGGTTGGCCATCCAGCCCAAGGGGTACGCATAATACATGATGCAGGATTCTACAGCTTGTCAGTCCCTTGGTGTTGGTTGGACGGCTCGCTTCCGTGCTGATCTGCTTTGTGGCTGGACATTGGATGCTTAGTTTTTGTTGTTTGCTTCTGCATAGGAATTTTTGTTGTTTCAAGGCCAAGGAATTTTGAGAACAACTATGGATACAGGTAAGAATAGTGCAACGAATAAGGGCAGATGGCTTTGAGATGGGGTTTCTGAGGAGCTGGAGAGACATCTTGGCTGTGCAGCCTGTTTTGAGAAAGGGGGCACCAGGGGAGAAAGGAGTGGCGTGAAAGTATGCAGGGATCAGATAATCAATCGCAGGAAAAGCAGAGGGAGAAAAGGGTAGTAAGGAGAAGAAGGTTTGAGAACAGGAGGCTCGATATAAGAGTGGAAACAATGAGCACTTCAGGCTATGTGGACCAGGCTTTCTCACGCACCAGCAAGGCCACCCCCATGGCTCATGTGCACCGGTGGGTGCTTGAAAAGGGGGCAGAAATAGGAAACTAAGCAAGCCCACCCCCTTTTTTCAGGTGCCTCAAAGCCATGGGTCATCATCCATCGTGGAAGGAAGGGCCAAAGAAAAACGATTCGGCAGAAGTAGAAAAAGTGTGAAAGTTTCGATCGCACAAACCGTTCCACTGATCTCATGGGGCTTTGAGACATGCATATCAGACCATTCACATGCTTTGCTGGACGTGCTAAGATAGAAGCCAGTCATCCTCTCACTTCATAGCGTCATTCTATTTCTCCATGTGCTGGTTTTCTCACCACAGCTATGGTGTGCTGCTATGGGAGGTTATGAGTGCAGTGAGTGGGGCAGTTATGAGTGCAGTGAGAGGGACAGCTGTGGGTTCCGTTTCCCTCGTTCCTCCCTTTTTTTTGTTCGTCCTCCCAACCCCTTGTTGACGATAAAAGGCCCCACCCCTCTCGTTTGGGCGAAGTCGACTTGTGTGATCGGCTAGGCTTGCATCACGCGTCACCATGTGAGCACCATGTGAGCACCATGGGCCCCTGCGTGTGCTGCCGTGGCCTCACAGGGTAACCCACCAGGTGTACGGGTACCATAGCGCTGTTCATTGCCTGCCGTCACCCCACCCCACACCACCCCACCCCATCCCACCCCACCCCACCTCACTCCACCCCAATTCACCCCACCCCACCTCACCCCACCCCACTCCACCCCACCCCACCCCACCCCCCACCTCACCCCACCCCACCCCACCCCACCCCACCCCACCCCACCCCACCCCACCCCACCCCCCCCCCCACCCCACGGCACACGGCACCAGGTGTACGGGTTCTACGACGAGTGCCAGCGCAAGTACGGCAACGCCAACGCGTGGCGCTACTGCACCGACGTCTTTGACTTCCTCGGCATCTCCGCCATCATCGACGGCCGCGTGCGTTGCCTTCCATGCCATCCACCCTCCCACCCACCCGCTCGTGGTGACGGGGGAGCATATGTGCCTTCCAATGCACTCTCTTGTGCTCCCTCCCCTGCATGCATCCCACCCTCCGATGCACCCTTGCATGATCTCTTGGATGCGCTATCTCATGTGCTGCATTCCACTCCTCTGCATTCCACTTCTCCTCGCCTCTTTTTATAGTCTTGCATGTTGTACTGCCACTGTTCATGTCACGAGCGTCCACCATTCCCCCCGTCTACACTCCACCGGTCATCAGGTGCTGTGTGTGCATGGGGGCCTCTCACCAGACGTCCGAACACTGGACCAGGTGCCTCTGCTGCCCTCTGCTGCCCTGCTCCCGGCCCTCCTGCTGCCTGTGTCGTTCCGCCACTCCTCTCGCTTCTCTTGTCCCATGCCTCACTTTCCTCTCCTCGTCCCCCCCTTGCTGCATCTCATGCGCAATCGTCCGTGCCTGTCTGTGCCTGTCTGTGCCTCTGCGTGCCTGTGTGTGCCTGTGTGTGCCTCTGTGTGCCTGTGTGTCTGTGTGCCCCTGTGTGTTGTGCTCAGATCCGGGTGGTGGAGCGACAGTGCGAGATTCCACACGAGGGCCCCTTCTGCGGTAACCTGCCACCTTCATTGCTCCCTGCTCCCTGCTCCCTGCTCCCTGCTCCCACCTCTATGTCCACCCCTCTCTAGTGGCAGACTCTCTGTGCCATAAATTTTAAATTCCTTCTTCGCCCTTGCTTTGAACTTTGACTGCCAGCACTGGCCATGCCTCACGTAGGTGGTGCTTTTGAAGTTTTTGCTCCCTCACACACTTTATCCGCCCCCTCTTCCTCTCCCCCCCTTCCCATCAACTCTTCTCTCCTCTTCCCTCCCACAACACCACCATCCACCTCTTACAACTGTCCACCTCCTCCCCCATGCTTTCCTCGCTGCTATGGGATCCCATTCCCACTCTTGCTTCTCCTCGCACCTCGCTTTCCCGGCCTCGTCGCACACGCCACATCACAACCACGCCACGCCACGCCACGTCATGTCATGTCATGCGGGGCAGATCTGATGTGGAGCGATCCAGAGGACATAGAGACGTGGGCCGTCAGCCCCCGAGGAGCGGGATGGCTGTTTGGAGCCCCGAGTCACCACCGAGGTACCTCTCCCCCACCCAGGTGCCTCTCCCCCACCCAGGTGCCTCTCCCCCACCCAGGTGCCTCTCCCCCACCCAGGTGCCTCTCCCCCACCCAGGTGCCTCTCCCCCACCCAGGTGCCTCTCCCCCACCCAGCTACCTCTCCCCCACCCAGGTGCCTCTTCCCCTCGCGTCTTCTCTCCCCCGCGCATGTCCTTCTCTCCCCCCCCCCCCCTTTAAATCCTCCTTTCCCTCGCATCTGCTCTACCGTGTGCCACTCTCCCACTTCATGGATTGATGTCACGGCATGGTACAGCCATGGATTGATGTCACGGCATGGTACAGCCATGGATTGATGTCACGGCATGGTACAGCCATGGATTGATGTCACGGCATGGTACAGCCATGGATTGATGTCACGGCATGGTACAGCCATGGATTGATGTCACGGCATGGTACAGCCATGGATTGATGTCACGGCATGGTACAGCCATGGATTCATGTCACGGCATGGTACAGCCATGGATTGATGTCACGGCATGGTTTTTTTTTTTTTTTTTTTTGAAGGAGGTGAAATTACATTATACAATGCAAAAAACACCATCCACGGTCGTAACCGGGCTAGAGGGCCTAGGTACAATCATACCGTACCCTCGCGGAAGCCTCTAAGGTGGTTTATGAATCAAGCGCCTGAAAATTTCATCTTGCCCGTTTGGGAGTAGTATGGCAATGTTGCTGGCCTTCTTCCTGAGTGGGTGGAACGGTTGAGCAGTGTTTTGGCGAAAGTTGGTTGCTCTCTGTTGCTTCTTTTGAGAACGGTGAGGAGTGGTTCTGGCCACTATCTTGGATGGGCGAACACGCAACCGCTGCTTGACAGCTCCTCTGAACGTCCTCTGACAATAGCAGGGAGAGGAGATTGCAGCAGCTCTGGCACCCTTTCCGGCCCTGCCTGAAATGCTTCGGAGGTTCCTTGATGGCTTGAACATGACCGTAGTGGCCAGCCGTAGATTAATATCCTCTAGTTGCATAAACGCCTCTTGGGTATTCTCTGTCTTGGAGTCCATAATGTTTGTCTTGTTAGAAAATAGACCTTCGTCATTTTCCCTGCAAATATTAAGTAGCTCTTCTCGATCCGCCAGCGTAAGAATTTCTGTATCTTCGGGGTCTGACCTTGATTCAAAACTGCAGCTACCTTGCAAAGTGAGCTGCGGTGAAGAGCTTAAAGCAGAACACTCAGAAATCTTCTCGTCAAAAGCACGTTGAAGGATGAAAGTCGCTTGATCACGTGTGTCGATTTCTGTTGATGCCAGCCGTTCTCTTTCAGAAGGGAGAGCTTCTTTGTCTTCGAACACTTTAGTAGAGGTCGCCAAAAAGAATGTGGATGTTTCACGAGTCATATTCCTTTCCTCTGATTCCGGTTGTCGTTGAATGGCAGCGAACGCAGATAGACGGAAGACATTTCGTTGATGAACTTGTATGATTTTAAAATTTCTGGCGTTGTCGAGGACCTGAATCCTCGTGATGCCGGCTTGAAAGATTAACTGATCGAGCCAATCTGCTCTTCCTTGGAACAACGTGAGCAAATCTGTCAATGTCTGAAGCTTGAAGGAAGTTTTTAACCTGAAAACACGGGATGTTCAGAAGAAGCGACGACCAGCCGATGTTCTCTTTGTGAACACAATGTTGGGGTCGACAGCTAGTTCCTGATGTGTAGATCCCGAATATGTGGTCAGATTCTAAAACTGGAGCCATTTGACTTGACATTGTTGACTTGTAAGTTCCTAGGAAGCCATGGCGGAGAGTCGCTTTGCAGTAGGCTGAGGTACCGTCATGTCACGGCATGGTACAGCCATGGATGTACTTGAAGTGGTTTAGGGAGGCCCAGCGTAGTTGTTGATCCCTCTGGCGCCTCAATCTCATTTCTCTGCCTCCCTCCTTGCTCTTTGTTCTGTTTTGTGCTCCCCTCGCTGCCCTGCCTGCCCTCCCTGTCTGTGCTGCCCTCCCTGTCGGTGCTGCCCGGCGGCAGTTCAATCAGATCAACGGGTTGGAGCTCGTGTGCAGAGCGCATCAGCTGGTGCAGGAGGGGCTCAAGTACATGTTTCCCGACAGAAGCCTTGTCACTGTAACTCATCTTCCACTCTCCTACCTCGTTGCCATTTAGCCTTTGGGGCTGTGATGCTGCCTCTCAGGGATAACTTCTTTTGCCATACCACTTTTCTCTTGTAACATCTTCACTCATAGTTCTTTTAGACCTGCGTTACATAACTCGAGCTGTGTGTGTGTTTCTGTGTCTGCCTGCATGTGTCTGACTGCATGTGTCTGCCTGCGTGTGTCTGCCTGCGTGTGTCTGCCTGCGGGTGTCTGCTTGTGCGTGTCTGCTTGTGCGTGCCTACTTGTGTGTGTCTGCATGTGCGTGTCTGTATCCCATGCAATGCCATGTGTGCGCGGTGTGTGCATGGCATCGCACCAGGTGTGGTCAGCGCCCAACTACTGCTATCGCTGTGGCAACGTCGCTTCCATCCTCAGCTTCGATGAGCACATGGTGGGTGGCTGCGCCAGTGCATGCGACAGTGCGTGTGTCAGTGCGTGTGTCAGTGCGTGTGTCAGTGCGTGTGTCAGTGCGTGTGTCAGTGGGGTGGCACGTGGTGAAGGGGGCACGTCGCCTCCATCCTCAGCTTCGATGAGCACGTGGTGGGTGGGTGGGGCACGTGGTGGGTGGGTGGGGCACGTGGTGGGTGGGTGGGGCACATGGTGAATGTGGCGGGTAACTTGGCGCTGAGAACTCCTTCCTTTCCCATGCCTGTCACAGGGGGTAATGGTAATGATGATGGTCACATGGGGGTAATGGTAATGGTGATGGTCACATGGGCTCGCATAGCCCCGCGTGAAGCTTTTGGGTTCCTCCATTCTTCAGGTAGTCACTGTTCCTGCACAATACGACATGGTGAGGTGACACCAGGAGCGCGATGTGAAGTTCCCTTCCCCCTTGGTCGTCCCCGGCCTCTGTGCGTGTGTGGCATGCCCCATGACCCATGATGCCCCCATGCCCCATGATGCCCCTTGATACCCTTGACGCCACCAGGAGCGCGATGTGAAGTTCTTCACGGAGACGGAGGAGAACAACACCATGATGGCGCCGCGCGCCGCCGTGCCCTACTTCCTCTGATCCAACCACTCTTAAGTGTTAGTAGCCCCACTTCCCAGACATCTTGTTTCCCCAGCGCCTCTGCATTGCTTCGTGCCGACAGCAGTCCTTCTCACATCACGCTACCCGTTTCTCTTTCATCTTTTGCCTACGGAACTTGGTGTCTGCCGAGCTGGCATCGCAACCCAATTGAGCCCGTTATTCTTGCCTCCCGTCCTCTTGCGTCCCTCGGTGTGTGCGCAGCTTAGTCTGAGCGTGCAGCAGCCATTTTGTGAAACTGATTCAAGGGCGGACCAGTAAACGAAACATATAATCTTAGTTTTGATTGAAGGGACCTATGGTGGCGTTGCACCTGATCTTTTGGGCCAGCTTGTGGTAGATTGGGTTGGCTGCGTCTGTTTTTTCACAACGTGCCAGGGTCTTCGGTGTGCAGGTGGTGGTGTTTATTACGAATTACTGGTGCAATCGGATCCGCAGGAAAGAGTGCCCTGGTAGGAACCTGTAGATGCGGGGTGCCTTGGATTTGGGGTTAATTTGCACAAAATAAAGACTGAGTGCTCATTCTTACAAGCGGGGCGTTGCAATGCAATCCCCACAAAACCGAGTCCCGTTACCGTCATACCCCGGATATAAGTCCAGGTGCGCTTATAATGAAACAGTGTTTTTGAGTAGGGTGCGATTCTAATTGACTCAAATTTATGAGGGCATGCGCTTGTAAAATGTCTAAATAAGACGAACGTCTCTTGTAAATTTATGCGTTGTTGCTCTCATGTTGGGAAAAGTAAAATGATTTATCAAGTTTGCTTTCTTATACTTATCATTTGGCATCGTTCTCATTTCAAGTGACTGTCAGAATGTAATTGTATACATTACTATAACTGCCTGTAGTGTAGACCTAGTTGTGAGAATAAGAACAAGGAATGGATTGACTAGGGAACAAGGGGGGTACAAGTAGGAAACCTAGAAGTGTTGTACCCTATAGTGTCTACCCCACTACAGCCTAGATAGACTATAGCATATGAGTTTGACACACCCCCATAGGCAAAGTGGGGGAGAACAAGGGGTCACAAGACCAGTCAAACAAAGCAAAGCAAAGCAAGCTCAGGGTGGATCACAACGTCACCACACAGTCCGAGCACAAAGTCAAAGGCCACAAGGCCAGTTCACATGCAGGGTTATAAAGCAGGGTGAACAAAACAAGACAGTGATCACAACCTAGCAAGGGTAAGCAAGCAGGGCAGGTATATATAGATCACAGTACAAGCAAAGTCAAGAGGTATGCAAGTGAGGCCAAGTAGGCACAAGACCTAGCATAGTACAAAAACGCTGATGATTCACAAGGCTGAAGTGCCTTGGTAAAGATATCAGCAGTGTTGGCCCTAGAGGCCACGTAAGCAAGGCGCAGCTGACCACGCTGCTGCAGCTCACGAGCAAGAAAATAACGGAGAGCAATGTGCTTCGTTCTGTGCTCCAGTCTGTGCTCCTGACACAAGGCCAGCATGGCCTTGTTGTCGACGTACAGAACTGGAGGAGAACGAGGCGGCTCTCCAAGGTCGGTCAGCAGGTAGGTGAGCCAGCGTAACTCCTGTGCAGCCATGGCCCCTGCGTAGATCTCAGCCTCACAACTGGAGCCGAGAACGGAAGACGAGCGGGTAGACCGCCACGAAACAGAGCCGGAACCAAGGCTGAAGGTGTAACCCTGTGACGACCCGCTGCGTAGCCAAGTCGTCAACCCAAGAAGCGTCTGCGTGACCAGTGAGGACCACTGAACTCCGCCCTCCAAGCACGAGCCCCATGCCCGACGTACTGCACAAGTAGCCGCAACACCCTCTTAGCTGCATCCATGTGCTCTGGTCTGTGTCTCCCAGGAGCAACATAGCGTGCCAGGATGCTAAGAGGGTATGCCAGGTCAGGTCGAGTGCAGGTCATCAGGTACATGAGGCAGCCAACAAGCTCTGGATATGGGCCACTCGGCTCTACGGACTCATCCGAAGGGCAGAGCTGAGAGCGAGTGGCGAGTAGGCAGAGGAGTGGCCTGAGGCGAGGAGTACGTGAAGTTGAATCGCTGAAGGACCTGCTGCACCATGTGTGACTGAGTCAAGGTAATGGTGCGGCATGCTCTATCCCGGGTGATCTGCAAGCCAAGATAGCTG